ATTTTTTTCACTTAATTGTTTATAACTTTTGTAATTTTTATCGGCGCGTTTTCGGACCTTTCCTTGAACTTTCTAGGCAAAAATACGAATCGAATGACACCTTGGTCGTAATTTTTGGACAGGGCTGATAAATGTCACCAAAGTACATGTGAACCAGTCTAATCGCCGTACTCGAAGATATGGTGTCAAATTTTTTTAATGAACTGCGATTCCTCGAACTTGGCAGGAGATATGAATATCAACCTCTTAGCAATAAATAATTCTGTAGAATTTTCTTTAAACTCTCTTCAAAGTTATAATCTGTCTCAACGGATAGAAATCCCTACAAGAATAACAGCTAATATTCATACCCTTAACGATATCTTGGTATCATCAGAAAACGATGATATACAGTCAGTTGAAGTTTTAGATATTGGTATCTGCGATTATCTTGCAATTACTTGTGAAATTATATCACTGAAAACAACATCAAAATACAAAACAGTTTACTACCGAGATTTCTGAAATTTCAACCAAGATGATTTTTTCAATGATCTGTATCTCTTTGATTGGGATAGAATCTTTCACTTCGGAACAGTTGATGCAATGGTAGAGTTTTCACCACAAACACATCAATTATTTTCAATGCCCATGTCCCAGCTAGGTCTATAAGAACAACAAAACCGCCCGCTTCATGGCTCACCTTCAACATCAAGGAAATGATTAAAATAAGAGATAAAGGCTCTTGGAAAGTTCAAAGTAACCAAATCTCATAGAGACTGGACGAGCTATAAGGAATTCCGTAATTATACCACCGGAGCAATCCGACGTAAAAAAAGCCTATTTAGAATTTGTTTCGAGAAACGGAAATTCCAGTTTGATCTGGGGTACTCTAAGAAAACTTGAAATTTTGAAAAATAAACACAAGCCTAATCTTTCCGCGGATTTATCAGATCTGAATGTAATAAACTCCCACTTCACAAATATTATTCATCCTGCAAAATCTCAACATCATGAAGCACTTATTGAAAGATATACTCAGACCTATAATGGACCTACTTTGAATTTTCGCAGAGTGACACCACTCCAGACTCAACAATTACATCAGTGGTATGAAAAGTAACTGTGCTGGATCTGACAACATTTCTTTCATTATGTTGAAGTATATTGAATATTATCTTATCAACCACATCACACACATATTCAATTCCTCAACAAATTATTTTCCTTCTGCATGAAAACATGCAATTGTACTCCCTTTGCCAAAATGTCAAAATCCAACTGAATTATCTCATTTAAGGCCAATTAGCAAACTGTCTATCCTATCTAACGTGTTCTAGCGGATTCTGAAAGATCAAATTGATTCTTTTGTATACAAAAATAATTTAATAACAAATGTTCAATAGGGATTTCGTACATTCTATAGCATCACCACCGCTCTAGTCAACATCACCCAAGATTTATTCAAAGCAACTGATAAGCTATAAGGGTACTGTCAAGCTTGAAGTACAGAAATGACTGCAAGGACTCCTTCAAAGTTCTACAAATACTTACAGTTCCCAGCTCTTACATTTTCCAGTGCCTTATATATATTAAAATCAACTTACATAAATACACAAGTCACTCTGATATACATAATCACCACACCAGAAGTCCCAAAAACATATACCTAGATTATCAGAGAGTTTCAAAAAGTCGCAATGGAATCAACTACTATGCTCCAAAACTTTTCAATGCTCTACCCGAATCGATTAAGAATGCACATTTGAACACATTTAAGATCCAAATTAAGCAACTGTTACTCAGGGGTGCCTTTTACGATTTTAACGAATTTTTAAATGCTGATTTTACAAAGATTTGTGAACTGTAGTATTTATCATCTATTATCATTATTATTTATTATTAATTTTTTTTGTTTCTCTCGCCCCTATTTCCAATGACATAAAACCTTCCAATTCTATTTCATACTTTTTATAATCTCATATGAAACACTTTGTAATGCGACTCATTTTTTATGGACCTGTTATACATAGCTGAATTATTACAGTAGCTACAGAAATCAATTGAAAAAACTAGAGGTCCGTTTTTGAGAACATTATTAAGTTGTCGATAAAATCTAATGAACGGAGTGTCTGTCGCATTGTAAACTGGTTCATGTCAGACCATAACAAATATGATACAGTGTTGAATTATCTCCTGCTTCTAGTTTTTGGTGGATATTTCAAAAACAACCACTGATCTCAAATCATTTGTTGAGTTGGCAAGAGATCGCTGTCTACTACTAGATGCTACTAAATCGAATATCATCCTATTCGGATCAAAAAAGAATCGCCAGAAAACAAGTGAATCCCTTACAATCACGATTGATAATGTTCCTTTACAACTCACAAATGATTACAAAAATCTTGGAGTTATAATCGACTCTGACGTGCGGTTTGAGAAACATATAAACAAACAAATACAAGTGGCACATTCTTCGTTGAAACTTATTTATGGACACATACACGTACTCACGAAACAGACGAATGCACTGTGATGCACTGGTTTTATCGCGCTTCAACTATTCGTATACTTTATATGGTCCATGTTTAACCAAACAGTATGCTCAGAAAATACAGAAAGTACAAAACTCGTGTCTACGGCTCATTCACGGAATTAGGAAATATCAAAAGAATATCCCATAAGTTACGGGATACGGGGTGGATCACAATGGAAAATAGACGATAATTAAATGCTGCTAATTTATATAACAAAATTATACAAACCAAAACGTCGCCTTATCTGTACAGAAAAATCACTTTTCGTACTGATGTTCACAATCTGATCATCAGATTTAAGGGTACTCTTACCCCACCTAGTTTTAAAACTGATTTTTTCAAGCGATGTTTTAGCTATAATATATACCAAGTGATCAACCTGTTACCAAAAGAAAGAAGAAATTCAGAACTTTCTGTTTTATGGAAAAGATTCAAACTCCTTCTGTTTGAAAGCCAACTTCAAGTATAAACTGCCTAACCCTATACATTTTTCATCATTATGAGACCAGAATAAGTCCCAGTCACGAATGTCTTCCCTTAATAGATATTTGAACAATCCCAATGTTTTTTTATGTATTACTTTCTTTGTCTTAGCTTAGGTATAGAATCTTTTTGAGGTTGAGTGGAAGAACAACTCAGTAGCACTTGTGTTAACTGAGTTGAACTCCGCCTTTTGTTACATCAGCAACTAGCTCTGTAATTTATCTAAATATTTGTATGTAACTACAACTGGGAAACAATAAAGACGATATTATTATTATTATATTCTCGATCTGAGAAGAAATTATTTTAGTTGCGTAAAAACATAATATTTTATTTTAGCTCAACCCACCTTGTAGATCTTTCCGGTTCCAAGATAGCAATCAGCTAAAAAACGGCCTATATACATTAGAAACGGGATGTGGTTATGGTCTTTCGATTTCTGACTAGGTTCCTTGAGTCCCGATTTCAATAAACATGTTTCATCTTCAATATTTACTATAGAATCCGTTGCAAAATCTAATCGACAATACAAGACAGGAATAGCAGGATTATTTGAAGAGCTGTAAAACTTACCCTTATCTATATTCAATTCTGGAAAATTTAAATTTCCTAGTATATCAACGTAGTCACTTTTATTGACATTCCTATTTGTTCTCTCTCTCATCGATATAGAAACTGCTTCCGAAAAAATATCGCAATGAATCTTTTTCGCGAAGTCTAGATGGAAAAGTGATACCCAGTTTGGCTTGAATAAGTACATTGTCTGCATAATCGAGTTCCTCAAACCCAGATTGAATACATCTTTTGCCATTTTATAGAAGATTGCTTCGTAATCATCAAAACATCTGGAGTTGATTCCAAGAAAACATTTTGCGGTAATATCTGTGAGATATTTTCCGACAACTTCTCTTACTTTCACTTCTTCTTGGTGTTCATCGAGGTATCGAACTAGATTTTGACTAATATCGCTGATGACAGGAAACATTCTTTTCATTTTTCCTGATGAGAAGTTTGGACTGAGTCTTACTCTATCGTTTTTCCATTCTGGCGATTTTTGGAAAAAAAGAACTTGAGACTGTATTTTGTTATGTGTTGGTAATGCTACGGCTCTGTCCATGAAATACGAAAAGTCCTTTATTGTAATATTTTTTATGAGCTCCGGAGATTTTATTACTAGAAAGGGTTCGTCGAAAACGAAAATGCCAAAGTATGGTTCATTTACAGAGTCGTACATATTTTTGAACCACTCTGTAAGGGTACATCGCAGCAAAAATACATCTAGAAAATTTCCGAGGAATGGAAGCGGTTTTGGGTTGTATATTCTGCGTTTTTTCCAATAATTAAATTTTCTCGTACTGTATTTGTAGAGGAGGAACGATGCTATGGCAAATAAAATGAATACATCCAGAATCCATGAAGATGTTACTGCCATCTGAAAAACAAGTTAAGGTGGTTTATTTTTTATTCAAATTTGCTCAGTTGAATTTCTCAAACTCTATAACGTACTGCCGATGCAAACAGTTGTAATTAATTTGAAGGATATCAATAGAAGATTCATGAAAATAAAAGTTTATGTTTCGGAATTTTACGGAATTTAACGGAATCTTGAAGTCATTATTGACTTTTATATTTATGGTATAACCGGCACTGTGAATTGTATCAATAATGTTGTTCAAATCTGTGATTAGCAGTGAGAAAATTAGAAACACACCTGAATTTATCAATTCATCACGTTCAAATAACAACGAACAACTTATTTTTTTTTCAGTTTATTTAAATGATCTACCAATATATTCAACTATAGTCAATTTTTTGAAAGCGACAGTAATAAAATACTCAAAACCAATAACCCTAATGGCACGCCAACTTTTCAGACTGCAATAAATAAACATCTCATTTTTGTTGAGTTTTTCCCAAATATGACGCTGGAAATATAAATATCCCTAAAAGTTTTTCTGTACATATAATGAATTTTCATTACTGCACCGCTTCCAAAAATAAGTATTAGTTAAGCATCTGACAAATTCAAATTTTCATTTTTCTCAAACCATTTGGCGAATTTTCAAAATTTTAAAACAACTCCAATGAAAAATTGAAATAATTAAACGTTTATTGATCTTCTAGAACTGACGAATCGGTTCTTTTCTGAAAATTGTTAACTTTATGATCCAGTATGATAGTAGTGTCGAATTTATTTTTCAATAAAACCTGAAAGATTCTGGATTATCAAGATGAACTATTTTCTCAATATTTTCAACTTCTACTCCAAAATAGTAAAAAGCTTTTTTTGACGAATGTTCAACTCACCGGTTTGGAGTCAACAGGAGATATTAATAACTACCTATTTTCTCGAAGATAAGCCTGGCCTAATATTTGGGGATAGAGAGCATATCGAAGAAAAAAGAGTAATTTTCGTATATTCGATTGTTTGTGGTATATTTGTTGTATGTTCAAAATCAATGAAACTGATCGTAGTCTGTACACGGAAGATATTCAACACAAACTATTATGGAAGCAATATAATCCAGAATAATGATTCATTAGGTTGTTTCGAAAGTTTTGTACGTTTTAATGATATGTGTTTTTGTGGCTCCATATCTCAATAGATATATGTATTCTACAGTGACATAGCATAAACTGTTCGTTAGAGAATTTTCTACATTGATGCTGTTTTTTGCCACTTTTCAGCTTATTACTATATGATATCGTTAAGCAACTTTTGGCCAATTTTTCGCAACGAATTCAAATTGAACCATAGCGCTGACGAAACAGCCCGAAAAATTAACCATTCAGGCATTTGGCTATGATAGTGTTAATGAACGTACTATTCGACGCTGGTTTGCGAAATTTCGTTTCGGATATTTTAGCCTCAAAGATGAGCCCCGAAGTGGCCGACCTAAAGTAATACAGGACGAGAATTTGAGGACCCTGGCGGAGACTGACCCATCACAAACGGTACGTGGAATAACAAAGGAACTGGGCGTCAGCTCCCATGCGGTTTTTGACGGTTTGGAACGTATTGGAAAGGTCAAAGAGCTCGAAAAGTGGGTGCCCAATGATTTAAACGTTTGACAGAAATTGTCTCGTTTCGAGGGATCTTTTTTGTTTTTATGCAAGCAAAACCATCCTTTTCTGAATCGGATTATCACTTATGATGAAAAGCGGATCCTCTAC